CTACAATCCCCTCTGGATCCCATTTCATGGCTACTCACACTTTACTCGTGGTTTACTCCCTCCTTTACTTGCAACCGACCCATTTTTTTTGCCCCCCATAGCACCATTTCTCCCATCTCCATCCCATCCCCAACACTCTGCGATCCTACAATCCCCTCTGGATCCCATTTCATCACTACTCAGACTTTACTCAGACTTCACTCGTGCTTTACTCATGCTTTACTCATGCTTTACTCACAACCGCCCCATTCTGTTGCCCCCCACATCCCCATCCCATCCCACTCTGAGATCCTACAATCCCCTCTGGATCCCATTTCATCACTACTCAGACTTTACTCACGCTTTACTCACGCTTTACTCACAACCGCCCCATTTTGTTGCCCCCCACATCCCCACCCCATCCCTTCTGGATCCCTTCTGGCTCCCATTTCACCCCCTCCCCATCTCCGACCCCACAACTCCTCCCGCTTCCACTCTTACTCACACTTTACTCCTTCCCTCCTCCATCTTTACTCACCGTCACCTTTTCCTCTTCCATCTCCACCACCATTCGCTGCCATTGAATCACGACTCCGACGATGCCTCCGGATCCGGATCGGATGAGGATACGAAAGAATGGATTTGTTTTCGTTCCGGAACATTCCTCAACCAAAAGGCGAAGGCAGGAACCCGAAAAATCGTGATGGAGGAGATCGAAGGTGCGGACGTGGCCGACCCCAAGGGCCGAGCAGCTGGAGTTGGAAGGGGGGGGACGGTTGGGGACGGGGTTGGGGACGGGGGCGCAAGACGCCGGTGGGGATTTGGATGAGCAGGAAGGAGCTGCAAGGAGAGAGGAGGTGGGTTTTGTTTGGCGTCCTGTAATCCCAATCCCATAATCCCAAACCTGGACCCTATCATTATGATCCCCATCCCGTAATCCCATTTCCAGACCCCATAACTGCAGATCTGATCCCATAATCCCATCCCCAGACCCCATAATTATGCTCCCCATCCCATAATCCCATCCCCAGACCCCACAACTACACTCCCAATCCCATAATCCCAAATCTGGACCCTATAATTATGTTCCCCATCCCGTAATCCCATCCCCAGACCCCATACTTATGCTCTCCATCCTGTAATCCCATTCCCAGACCCCACAACTGCAGAGCTGATCCCATAATCCCATCCCCAGACCCCATAACCTTGATCCTCACCCCATAATCCCATCCCCAGGCCCCACAACTGCATACCTGATCCCATAATCCCATCCCTAGACCCCATAATTATGCTCTCCATCCTGTAATCCCGTCTCCAGACCCCGTAACTGCACTCCCCACCCCATAATCCCATCCCCAGACCCCATAATTATGCTCTCCATCCTGTAATCCCATCCCCAGACCCCACAACTGCAGAGCTGATCCCATAATCCCATCCCCAGATCCCATAACCTTGATCCTCACCCCATAATCCCATCCCCAGACACCATAATTATGCTCTCCATCCTGTAATCCCATTCCCAGACCCCACAACTGCAGATCTGATCCCATAATCCCATCCCCAGATCCCATAACCTTGATCCTCACCCCATAATCCCATCCCCAGACCCCATAATTATGCTCTCCATCCTGTAATCCCATCCCCAGACCCCACAACTGCAGATCTGATCCCATAATCCCATCCCCAGACCTCACAACTACACTCCCAATCCCATAATCCCAAATCTGGACCCTATAATTATGTTCCCCATCCCGTAATCCCATCCCCAGACCCCATAATTATGCTCTCCATCCTGTAATCCCATCCCCAGACCCCACAGCTGCACTCCCAATCCCATAATCCCAAATCTGGACCCTATAATTATGTTCCCCATGCCGTAATCCCATCCCCAGACCCCATAATTGTGCTCTCCATCCTGTAATCCCATTCCCAGACCCCACAACTGCAGAGCTGATTCCATAATCCCATCCCCAGATCCCATAACCTTGATCCTCACCCCATAATCCCATCCCCAGACCCCACAACTGCAGACCTGATCCCATAATCCCATCCCCAGACTCCATAATCCCACCACACAACCCCATAAACTTGTTCATCACTCCATAATCACACCCCACAACCCCATAATCCCACCCCACAACCCCATCATCCCACTCCACAACCCTATAACCTTGTTCCTGACTCCATAATCCCACCCCATAACCCCATAACCTCACTTCTCACCCCATAATCCCTCACCATAACCCCATAATCTCGTTCCTCACCCCATAATCCCACCCCACAACCCCATAACCTTGTTCCTGACCTCATAATCCCGCCCCTCAACCCCATAATCTTGTTCCTCACCCCATAATCTCACCCCACAACCCCATAATCTCACCCCGCAACCCCAGAATTTCACCCTACAGCCACATAATCCTGCCCCACAACCCCATAATCCCACCCCACAACCCCATAACCTTGTTCCTGTCCCCATAATCCAACTCCACAGCCCCATAATCCCACCCCACAACCCCATAATCCCACTCCTCAACCCCATAACCTTGTTCTTGTCCCCATAATCCAACTCCACAACCCCATAATCCCACCCCACAACCCCATAACCTTGTTCCTGACCCCATAATTCCACCCCACAACCCCATAATCTCGTTCCTCACCCCATAATCCAACTCCACAACCCCATCATACCACTCCAAAACCCCCTAACCTTGTTCCTGACCCCATAATCCCATCTAACAACCCCATAATCTCACCCCACAACCCCATAACCTTGTTCCTGACCTCATAATCCCACCCCACAACCCCATAATCTCATTCCTCACCCCATAATCTCACTCCACAACCCCATAATCTCACCCCACAACCCCATAATCTCGTTCCTCTCCCCATCATCCCACCCCACAACCCCATAATATCACCCCACAGCCCCATAATCCCACCCCACAACCCCATAATCCCACTCCTCAACCCCATAACCTTGTTCCTGTCCCCATAATCCAACTCCACAACCCCATCATCCCACCCCACATCCCCATAATCTTGTCCCTGACCCCATAATCCCGCCCCACAACCCCATAATCTCGTTCCTCACCCCATTATCCCACCCCACAACCCCATCACCCCACCCCACAACCCCATAATCTCATTCCTCACCCCATCATCCCACCCCACAACCCCACTCACCGCACTTTCCTGCCCCACTTTCGGGATGGGCGCAGATCCCACACAGCTCTTCCCTCAGCTCCGCCGGCACCGTCACCGTCACCGCGCCGTCCCCGCCGATGGCCACGCGCACCCCGGGGGGCAGCTCCACTCTTCTCTGTCCCCCCCTTCTCTCTACACGCACTCGGCCCCCCACCATCAGGAGGGGAAGGGGGACGACGCTTCCGGATACCTGGGGGGCAGATTGGGGAAGGGGAAGGGGGGAGGGGTGGAGATGAGGAAGGGGGAATATGGGGTCTGATATATGGGGTCAGATATGGGGTCTGGGGGCTGGAAATGGGGTGGGAGATCCCAAACCACCCAGATATGGGGTCTGGGGGCTGGGAATGGGGTGAGGAGATCCCAAACCACCCAGATATGGGGTCTGGGGTCTGGGAATGGGGTGGGCAGATCCCTGACCACCCAGATATGGGGTCTGGGGGCTGGAAATGGGGTGAGGAGATCCCTGACCACCCAGATATGGGGTCTGGGGTCTGGGAATGGGGTCGACAGATCCCTGACCACCCCAATATATGGGGTCTGGGGGATGGAAATGGGGTGAGGAGATCCCTGACCACACAGATATGGGTTCTGGGGGGTGGGAATGGGGTGAGGAGACCCCTGACCACCCAGATATGGGGTCTGGGGGCTGGGAATGGGGTGGGA